GGTTTTGAAAATGAGGTTTTGACTCTGCAAAATGACATCAAATCCAGAGCAACAAGTCACATGGATGGAGAGTTATGGAGTTAGCTTTCTCTCACATGAAAATCATTAAGTCCAAGAACAGATCCACAAAGACTGATGATCATCTGGAGACCTGCTTACACCTCATACTGCCCACCTATGAGACCCTGGGCAGTGTCAGAGGTCCCACTAAGGTAGACACACATTTATTTTTATAGCTTCTTGCATAAAAAGTTGTCTCCTCTAGACTTGTCACAATGTGTCTGTATGTTGTTTTTATTACATTTTAGACCAGACTAGTGTCTTATACACTGACTGGCACATTTGTGTTATTTATTTACATGTATTTATTTATTTATTTATTTATTTGTTTGTTTTACAGTTGTTTTCTCTACCTAACATGGCTGTGCGTGTGTCTTGTCTTATAGGTGGTGAACAGGTGAAACTCTTTGAATGGTCTGGAGCCAGCAGTCTRGACCAGTGAGGACCAGCACCTACAGATGACACCATCCTACATGCTGCTGCACAGAGATGGAGGTTTGAAATAGTTGTTGGAGATYTGTGAATCTGCACCATCGTAAGTCACTTTTTGTAATCGTATAAACAAGAGAGTTTTATATTGTGTGCTTTGACTTTAGTTTTTTGTTTTGTTTTTCCTCCCCTGTATGGAGAGAAGAGAGGGAGAGTTCTTTGAATAAATGGAGATGAGTTCCTGTGCTCCAAAGTTATTTAAGTCTGTGATTCTCAGTGTGCAGGTTTCCAGCCCTCATAGCTCACACGTTACAGGAAGTACTAATTGAAGGAGGTAAAAAATTGATCCTTTTTGTTCGAGCATCACTTTTCTGTTTCTCTGTCAGGAGTTAAGTAAGGATTTTATCTCTTCGTATTTTTTTCTCTTTGCAGGTAAATATAAGGTTAAGTAGATAGTTTTGTTTGACAATACTTTAAATTAAATAAAACTAGCAACACATTACGTTCTGTTTTATTTACTTTAAAGAAGTGAGGAGTAGGGAGACGAAAAATTATGTTTTTTGATACTGAGACTGGACGAGTAGATCTCGACAAACTGCCGACTTCAAAAGTAGCTCTTGGTTTAAAAAGGTTGGGCACCCCTGATAGAGGCTGTTGCTGCGTTCCAGTTGTCCTCGGAGGTCGTAGCTTCGAGCCTCCGAGTTCTGTTTTTCAACTGGAACGCCCCTGAAGTCGTAGTTTCGAGTCAAGAGGTCGGCGCATCCAAACCATACCCGAGCAGCCCGAACATGCGTTACATAATCATTTCAACATGGCTGCTGCGCGCATGTTTCTCTAAGCTAACGGCTAATGTTGAGCTGTAATTAAATGTACACAAGCACCATCCTCATTATTTAACAGACAGAAAGTGTTATGGTAAAAATTTATTTAACAAAGACAGAAATACGTGGTCCAAGAATGAAGGTACTCCGTGAGATGATCAGCTGAGTTTTATTGCAACAACAGGAAACACAGAGAACAACCTGGCCTGTCTCTGTGCCTTCTCTCTGTCACTGTCTCTCCACACTACTGTTGAACTCTGTTGTACTCTGTTGAACACTGTGTCTCGAGAGGCCTCAAATATATATTAACAAACACCATTATGTCATCTTAGCAAGATTTGATACAAGGTCAATGGAAAACACAAAGATAAACACAAGTGATATCTAAGAATGACTGTTGTTAGCACATCTTGTTCTGACTTTAGTCATTCTATCTGCAGATGAACAGCATGTCATGAAAACCTAGGTCATTAAAGGATGTCATGAATTACTTGCTTAAACATAAAGAATTAGTTCTACCACACTCCCCCATCTGATCATTAAATCACCAATTAAATGATCAATAAAACAAAAAAAAACTCTTTAATGTATTTAAAAAAACATGTCAACATAAACCTAAGTACATGTACTTTTCTAAAATCCCAACCCCAGTAATTCAATTTTTATTCCTCCCACAGTTATTTCTAACTCCCCAAAAAGTTATCACACAAAAGTCTCTGGATCATCTTGAACACAAACAGGAGTGTCTGTTGTGATGTGTCAAAGGGTCAGAGGTGGTGGTGGGGCTCTTTGACTTTTTGTAGATCTTGGTTTAGTGCGAGGGGCCGGAAGAGGAGGGTTACGTGGATTTGGACATGGTGTTTGTTTGATATTAATCTCGCCATGTTCTTTCATGTTATTAGTAAAATCCAGGAGGGGGCATTCCACTTGCTGTCCTGTTGGGGTCTCAGAGTCCAAGAGGTCCTCTGTTTGTGATGCTGATGAATCCAGTTGTTCTTCCGGTTCTGCAGCGTGAAGTAACTCCTCTCTGTCTGGTTCTGATTCTGAAGCAGTCTTTTTATCAGTAACTGGCACGCTGTGTTCCACTGATATCTCAGTTTTCTCCAGCTGTCCTTCAGACATCAGCTGTTGTGGTTTTCCTGTAGCCGGAACTTTGTTCAGGAAATTCTTCATGTTGGAAACCAGAAGCTGTGCTCCAGTTTGATTCAGAGTCATTCCATCAGAC